CATGTGCCGTGTGGTCACGGGAGGGGACGCTCACGTGTGCCTAGTCATCTGCCCTGGGTCAGGTGACCTGGAAGCCTGCAGTTCGTGGTACGTGCTACTTTTGCCGCTTTCTGATGATTCTCTCTTTCAGGCTGTGTTCTCCTCGGTTTTCTATTTTGCATCTGTCCCGCTGTACCAGGGTTTCCTGATGGTAGGGTAAGTGAACGTCGTACCTTCTCTTGTGACCCAGAACACTTCCATTGGCGGGTCTTGAGGTCCATTTTCCTAGTCTGTCTGAGGATGGAAACTCAGTGAAACCCACCCACTGTGGGTGACCGTTCTGTATTGTAAATACCAGCCTTCCAGCCACACACAGTCCCCACAGTCGGACAGATGGAGAGATCTGTACAGACTGCTCTCGGGCCCCAGCCTGCTCACCACAGCCAGGACACTGAGTCACATGACCCTGACTTTGTGACCTTTCTGTGGTTTGAGTTCTCGCTCCCACTGGCTTGTGTGAGTGACAGAGCATAGTGGTCACTCCTGATGTTCTTGCATCAAAACCGTTGAGAATTCTCCAGGAACAAAACACCTTCCTGCCCCCATCACTTCAAGCTGAGCTGGTGATGACATGAATGGCTGTGAATAGTGCAGGGTTTGCACCCTGAGTTTACACAGTGTATTCCTTCCCTGGGGTTCATTCAAAGCCCATCATATGCACCTGTCCGTACTCCGTTCCCATCGCCATTATGTAGCATGAGAGGGGATTCAGCCGCACGGCAATGGCTCCTTTAGGTGGTAACTGTCCGTGTGGGTGACAGGCTAGCCGGCGGAACAGACACCTTACCGAGAACACGACTGATTTTCCGTGGCTGAATGCGTAGGTCTGCAGGTCTCTAGATCTCCTGAGGACCGGTCCCTGGAGTGAGGAGCTGAGCTTCTCTGAAAACGACCAGTAACATCAGTCTTGCCTTCTCACCTCGAAGATAAATGCAAAGAACGAGAGGAAACAATATCATGTTTAAACATAGAAAACAGAATTTCCGTCTGTGATAGAAAAAGTGCTCTAAGATCTGTGGGACGATGGGTTAAATGGAGCTCACTGCTCGTTCAGGACCACACACACATGAACTGACGACAGAAAGGGTGGCAGGGCAGAGCGGGAGCTCACGGGTGATCTGGGGAGGGAGCAGCAGGGATTGGGGGCTCTGGCGGCACCAGCACAGAGACAGCATGATTGTGGAGGGACAGGGTACCTAGTGCCTGGGTCTGCATGACCTAGGCTGGCCTTTCTGAAACCACCAGGTGGCCCTGTGAGGCACTGCTGTCCCCTCCCCTTCAGAGGAAGAGCTCCAGCTCCATACTGAGCCCCTCTTTGAGGTCATAGTGCCTGTTTGCAAGCTGACGGTTCTGGGAAATGGCTGCTATGAAGATCACTGTTGAAGCAAGTCTGTGTGTCTCACTGCTCTCCCACCGTGGACTCACTGTCGGTGCTGACTGCTGACCCAGGCCGAGAGCCTCGAGTTGTGAGCAGCCTCTCCGACACTGGGCTGTGGTCTCTGAGAAGGCTGTGGCCCAGGGGTTCCAGAATTAACACTGAAGAACCCAAAGGAAAAACGGACAAATCGGATTCTAGAAGGAAAATGTGTGCTCTTCTAATGGCATTAAACAAGTAAGAAGGCAGACTGGAAAAAATACCTTCAGTATCCGTTGTTGTTGTTAGTGCCATTGAGTTGGTTCCGACCTATAGCGACCCTGTATAGGGTTTCCAAGGAGCGACTGGTGAGCTTGAACCACCAACCTTGCAGTTCAAACGGCTTTGCAGTCTAGCGCATTAACCCACAACACCACATGACGCTGGGCTTATATCCTGAATATTTGATGATCACTTTCAACTCAATGATAAGAAGACAAACGGCCTAATTTTTTAAAAGGCAACATTTTGAACATAAATCACAAAAGGAAATTTAAGAATGACACATATGTTTGTTGTTAAGTGCCATCGAGTCAGTTCCAACTCCTAACAGTCCTGTATAGGGTTTCCAGGGAGTGTCTGGTGAATTTGGGCTGCCTACCCTAAGGTCAAACCAACTTTGCAGTTCAGTGCCGTAAGCACGTGAAAATATGGTTACCATCATTACTTACCAGGAACTACAGATTTCAGTTGTAATGAAATACCACTGCCAGATCTTCATTTACAAAGACTGACCGTACCAAGAGTGGACAGAAATGTGGCGCTACTGAGACTCTATAAAGGGACTACAAAAGTTTGTGGAAAAAATGAAATTAAAAGATACTGGAATTTTCCCATGAACTTTTTGAAGCTTCTTCCTACATTGCTGCTGGGAGTGCAAAATGGTGTAGGCACACCTGAAAACAGTTGGCAGGTTTGTTCTAAAGTTAAACCAGGTGATTGGCCAATCCTGCTCCTCAGGGATTACCCAAGAGACTGAAAATGGCTGTCATCTACAGAGACCTGTGCAAACACCCATAGCTTTATGGGCATAAACTGGAAAACCCAGAACAATGTGTGTTTGATCCACATCATGGAGGAGTCCTGGTGGGGCGCTGTGGGGTCAGCCCTCTACCGCTGACTGAAAGACTGACGATTCAAACCCAAACCCACCAGCTGTTAATCAGAACCCTATACAGGATCAGTATGGCTCCAAACCGACTGGAGGGCACTTAACAACAACAGCCCACCAGAAGGAAGGAAAAGAGAGCCAGAATGGAGAGTCAGAAAATAAGACTTAAGCTGAACCTTATTGTTGTTGTTGTTATTGTTAGGTGCCATCTGGACACTGCCCCATCTTGGCAGCATTCTCACATTTGTTAGTAACTACACTTGAGCCCATCGCTGCTGCCACTGGGCCAATTCATTTTCTTAGGGGTCTTCCTCTTTTTCAGTGACCTCCACTTTACCAAGCCTGATGTCCTTCTCCAGGGACTGGTCCCTCCTGATACTGTGTCTGAAGTATGAGAGACGAAGTCTGGCTGTCCTGGCTTCTAAGGAACATTCTGGATGTACATTATCCAACACAGATTTGTTTGTTCGTCTGGCAGTCCATGATAACTCTCAATATTCCTCTCCAGCACCTTAGCTCAAATGCATCAGTTTTTCTCCGGTCTTCCTTGTTCGTTGTCCAGCTTTGACATCCGTATGAGGCTATTGAAGATAACCATGGCTTGGATCAGGCGCACCTCAGTCCTCAAACTGACATTTTTGCCCTTTGAACTCTTTAACGAGGTCTTGTGTAGTAGATTTGCCTAATGCAATACATCATTTGATTATTTGAATATTGATTGTGGATCCAGGCAAATTGAAGTGTTTGACAACTATACTTTTCCCTCCATTGATCATGAAGTTATTTATTGGTCCAGTTGTGAGGATTTTTGTTTTCTTCACATTGAAGTGAAATCCATACTGAAGGCCTTTGATCTTCATCAATAAGCATTACAAGTCCTCTTCATCAAGCAAGGTTGGATCATCTGCATGTCGCAGGTTTTTAAAGAGTCTTCCTCCAACCATGTTCTTCATATAGTCCAGCTTCTTGGACTATTTGCTCAGCATATGATGAAAGACTATAACCCTGGCACACACCTTTCCTGATATTGTAAACCATTCAGGATCTCCTTGCTCTGTTCAAACGACTCCTCTTGGTCTGTGTACAGTTCCTCATGATCACAGTTAAAGTGTCCTGGAATACGCTTTCCTCACAGTGTTATCCAGAGCTTGGCAGGCTTCACATTGTCAATCAAGCACAAGTAAACATCTTTCTGGTATTCTCTGCTTTCGGCCAAGATACATGTGACATCAGCAGTGATAGCCCTCATTTTATGTCCTCTTCTGAGTCCAGTTTGAGTGTCTGGCAGTCCCCTTTTGAAGTACTGTTGAAGCCATTTTTAATTTTCTTCAGCAAAAGTTAACTTGCATGTGATATTAATGATATTGTTCAGTGATTTCTACATTCCATTGGGTCACCTCTCATTGGAATGGATACAAATGTGGATCTCTTCCAATCAGTTGGCTAGGTAACTGTCTTCCAAATTTCTTGGCGTAGATAAGTGAGTGCCTCCAGTGCTGTATCAGTTTGTTGAAAGATTTTTATTTCCATCAATTCCTGGAGCCCTCTTTTTCACCAGTGCCTTCAGTGTAACTTAAATTTCTTCCCTCAGTACCATTGGCTCTTAACTATATGCTACCTCTTGAAATGGTTGAACATCAGCCATTTCTTTTTGGTACAGTGACTCTGTATATACCCTTCCATCTTCTTTTGATACTTTCTCCATCGTTCAACAGTATTGCAATTAGAGGCTTGAATTTTTTCTTCAGTTTTCTCAGCTTGAGAAATGCTGAGCTTGTTCATCCCTTTGGGTTTTTTAACTCCAGGTCTTTGCACATTTCATTATAATACATGACTTTGCCTTCTCGAGTTGCCCTATGAAATTTTCTGTTCGGATCTTGACTTCCTCATTTTGTCTAGTCCCTTTAGCATCTCTGCACTGGAAAGCAAGTTTCAGAGTCTCTTCTGACACCCATTTTGGTCTTTTTTTCCTGTTTTATTTTAAATGATCTTTTGCTTTCTTTCCTGTATAATATTCTTGATGTCATCCCACAACTCTTGTGGTCTTTGGTCTTTAGTGTGTAACGCATCGATTCTGTTCTCAAGATGATCTCTAAATTCAAATGGATATGGCTCTTGTGACTTGTTTTAATTTTTTTCAGCTTCAGCCTGAAAGTACAATGATGGTCTGATCCACAGTCAGCCCCTGGCCTTATTTTGACTGATTGTATTGAACTTTTCCACCATCTCTTCCCACAGATGTAGTCAGTTTGATTCCTGTGTAAAAAGATATTTGCAATGAAGAAGCCAATGGTCTTCCAAAATTCTGTCATATGATTGTTTCTATCACCAAAGCCATATTTTCCAACTACTGATCCTTCCTTTTTATTTCCAACCTTTGCATTCCAGTCATCAGTAATTGTCTGTATATCCTGATTGCATGTTTGATCAATTTCAGATGGAAGAAGTTGGTAGAATTCTTTCACTGACTTTATTTCTTGGTGCATAAATTTGAATAATAATGGTATTAA